GATTATATAAGAGGATTCTTATAGACAAGAGAATTGAAGTGAAAGAAATATTGAAGATTATACTCTGAAGAAGTATGAAATGAAAGAATTATTAGAGTATTAAAATATATATAATTGTAAAATGAAATTATAAGAAGATGTGAAAGAACTTTATAAATATATATGAGTATATAAATATATAATAGAGAGTTGATTGTGTAAGTTAACTATTAATAAATACTAATTTATCACATTATCTCTCTCTACTGAAATGAGTGAGAATTTGTAGATATTGAGTACAGCAGTGTTCTTTATAATAGATACAGATTTTCAGATTGAATAATTGTATTCTATTTATTTAATAAAATATTCATGATAATGATAATTGATTCTGTTATTGAAAATTGCTTCAATTTTCTATTTGAGTTCATTGTTTTTTTTTATAATGACAGATGATTGTCAGTTGAAGATTTTTTATGAGAAGAATAGATTCTCAGCTGTGAATCAGAGTAGATTTATATAAAAAATATTATAAATATCAGATAGAATATTCAGTTGATAGTTGTGAATATCTAGTACTTCTATTACTGTATATTTAATATAATGATAATTCAGTATATATAAAAAGCAGTCTGTTTTTATATTTTTAAGATTCAATCAGATTTTATTCTCTATACTGTAATAGATTACAGAATTTTTTCTAATATTTACTTAATTTTTATAGTTCTATTGAATACTAATTATTGAAGCTTCAATTTATTTACAGATTTTTTTGAGTTTACTAATTATATTCTCTGCTGTTTATACAGAGTTGTGAATATATATAATCTTTTGAGAGATTTCAGAGTAGACTGACTGTGTGACCATGCATGAAACTGGGATCAAATTTTTCCTCAGTTTCATTATTAAATATCTTAGTTCTGATCTCATATAGTGTTTAGCAAATTAATCACTTTACACTGTTTATATTATAAATCTAGTCTCAGATTATGTTTTACTAATAAATTAGTGATTCTGATCTCATTTGATTCCATTTTACAAAATGGAATCAAATGGGATCATGATTTACCCTATATAGATTGGCAGTGATAGATAGGTTGGCAGTGGTAGATAGATTGGCAGCGGTAGATAGGTTGGTGGTGATAGATTAGCAGTGATAGATTAGCAGTGATAGATTAGCAGTGATAGATTAGCAGCAATAGATAGGTTGGCAGTGGTAGGTAGGTTGGCAGTGGTAGGTAGATTGGCGGTGATAGATTAGCAGTGATAGATTAGCAGTGATAGATTAGCAGCGATAGATTAGCAGTGATAGATAGGTTGGCAGTGGTAGGTAGATTGGCAGCGGTAGGTAGGTTGGCAGTGGTAGGTAGATTGGCAGTGGTAGGTAGGTTGGCGGCGATAGATTAGCAGTGATAGATTAGCAGTGATAGATTAGCAGCGATAGATTAGCAGCAATAGATTAGCAGTGATAGATAGGTTGGCAGCGGTAGGTAGATTGGCAGTGGTAGGTAGGTTGGCGGTGGTGGGTAGATTGGCAGCGGTGGGTAGGTTGGCAGCAGCACTAAGCAAGATAGAGGTAATATCTCCACCAATCATATCATCAGATTGATGTATTATATAATCATCAGAATGGGACCAAACTTGAGTCAAAATCATGATCAGTCTCAGATCATGTTCTGATTTTGATAGTCAGTCACTTTACATGAAATATCAAGATTTTTTAGTTCCATTTCACTCATGTTTTGATAATTCTAGTCACTTTACACTCTCATTCTGATTCTGATCCTACTAAAATCATGTCAAGAAATAGACTGAAATCAAATCAAATCAAATCAAATGTGTAATTCATGATCTCAGCAGCCAGTCTATTTCAGAGAAGTTCAGAATCTCTAAATTATAACTATATAAAAGAAAGAATGAGTTTATATCTGTTGTAGCAGAATTTTGACTATTTATAGTAATCTCAGTATATAACAGCAGATTGCTTCAGTCATTTTGTATATAGTTATAAAATTTTTAGAAAATATTCTTAACTATCTATATTATTCTCTCAGTAGCTTCATTGATCTCTGAGTGATATACTGTTGACAATTTTTATTTAATTCTTAGTAGCTGATATATACAAGTTTAAAATATACTTACAAACTGACTGTCTCTATCTAATATAATAAATAAAAACAAACTGTGTATACAATAGAATGAACTTCTGATAAAAATATTTGTAATAACTTCAGTGTTTATTTTATCACAGAGCTGCAGTATTACACTCTTACTAAGTTAATTGATAATGACTAAGATATTTATAAAATCTTCATTTTCAGATAAAAAAACTGTAAAATTAATGATTATATTATATCAAGTTTATTCAGAGATAGATAGAAGTTTCAGTATTTTTTTTAATATTTATACTATACTGTCACTGAACTGCAGTAATTACAGTTGTATATAAATCAATATATATTCTTCAATATATTCAGTCAGTAGAATTTTTGAATAATAATACTGTATATAATTTTACACTCTGAGTATCTGATTATTAATAAGTTATAAATTTCTTATATAATCTATATTTGTAGAGATTCTGAATCAGAGACTCATCATCTATTTCAGAAGTATAAGCAGTTGTTATTATTAATTGAATATACTGAGATATCTATTTTTGAGTATACATCTGCAGAGAATCAGAGTGTTTTATTTTATACAGTTTTAATAATCTATTGTCAGAATTTATCTGTTTCTACTACTTATTTTTATTACTTTTTAAATGAGAAGTTTTGAGTTCAGAACTAATTAATATATATATAGAGTTTATCTGATTATATAAAACTCTTCATAATCACAGAGTCAATTAATTAATATTCTCAATACTTTCATCTGTTGTCTAGATTATTGAAGAATATATTTTATTTTCAGTAGAATAGAGCATCTGTAAAAATGTTCTCTGTCTCTGATTGATAATGAATTGTAAATGAGAAACAGTTAAAAAACAGCAATCAGTATATATATCTCTCTGTAAGTTTATAAATGATTATGAAGTATTCTAGATTTTTATAATCAGTGATGATCTTGAACTTCTCTACATTCACAAGCTTGAATTCTCATTTTTTAAGATATTGTATGATTATCAGAAGCTTCTTGTTATAGATTTTATAATTGTATTCAGCAGACAATATTTTCTTTGAAATAAAAATACAGAATTGCAGAATATCTTTATTATTATATTATATCAATACTTCATTTATTATATATTCTGAGATATCTATTTTAAGAATTGTATACTTATCTGAGTTGAATGATTGCAGTATTGAAGCAGTTGTGAATATATACTTCAACTTTTTGAAAACAGTATCTACTTTGATAATTCATTGAAATACAGTATTCTTTTATATTAAATTTATTAGTGATTGTATGATATTCAAGAAGTTCTTGATAAATCTTCAGTAGAAATTAATGAATTCTAGAAAACTTCTAGTTTCTTTTACTGAGATAGATATTTCTCAATTAAGAATTGTTTTTATCTTTTTAGAATTCATTTGTATATCTCTTTCAGCTTCAATGATGAATTCTAGATAGATTATAGATTTGATTTCAAAGTTATACTTATCAATATTCACTTATAATTCTACTTCTTGTAAATGATTAAATACTTGTTATATATACTTGTGATGTTCAATGAGCAATTCATCAGTAAAGATCAGAATATTATTTATATATACTAATATAATCTTATTAAGTAGATCTTATAGAGCTCAGTTGATATATTTCTGAAATATACTGAAGATATTTACTAATTTAAAAAGAGTCACTGTTCATTTATATAATCTGTAATATATATAAAAAATGATTAATTATTTATTATTTTTGTTGATTCTTATCTTATAGAAGACTGCAGAAATATTAAACTTTATAAATTATTTTATTTTTTCTATTTATTTGAGTATTTCATTGATGAGCAGAAGAGAATATCAGTTTTTTTATGTAATTTTATTGAGTTCTCAATAGTTAATATAGAATTATAGACTTTTATCTAATTTCTTTGTAAATAGTACAGATGCTGCAGCAGATGAGTTGTTAATATAAATAAAGCTTTTATTCAGTAATTCATTGAGTGTTTTTTATAGAATAAGAAGCTTATTATATAATATACTGTAAAGAGAGTAGACTGACTGTGTAATCATATATGAAATTGAGATCAAATTTTTCCTCAGTTTCATTATTAGATATCTTAGTTCTGATTTCATATAGTGTTTAGTAAATTAGTCACTTTACACTGTTTATATTATAAATTTAGTTTCAGATCATATTTTACTAATAAATTAATGATTTCAGTTCCATTTGATTTCATTTTACAAAATGAAATCAAATGGAATTATAATTTACTCTATATAGATTGGCAGTGATAGATTAGCAGTAATAGATTAGCAGTGATAGATAGATTGACAGCAGTAGATAGATTGACAGTAGTAGATAGATTGACAGCAATAGATTAGCAGTGATAGATAGATTAGCAGCAATAGATTAGCAGCAATAGATTAGCAGCAATAGATAGTGATAGATTAGCAGTGATAGATAGATTAACAGCAATAGATTAGCAGTAATAGATTAGCAGTGATAGATTAGCAGTGATAGATAGATTGATAGTGATAGATAGATTGATAGTAGTTAGACTGACTGTGTGACTGTGTATGAGACTGAGACTAAAATTTTCCTCAGTTTCATTATCAAATATTTTAGTTCTGATCTCATATAGTGTTTTGTAAATTAGTCACTTTACACTGTTTATATTATAACTCTGATCTCATTTCACTGTTTATAAAAAATATTAAGTTCTGAATACTGTTCTTATCTTGATTTCTGAGTCACAGTCTCATTTGATTCCATTTTACAATATAATATCAAATGAGACTGTGACTTACTCATAATTACATAATCCACATGTTATTACATTGAATGGTGTCTAGTTATGCTGTGAGCATTATCAAATATTATTATCTTTTTTAAAGTCAACAACAGAAATATCATTATATATCTATAGATATATTAAAAATTAAAGAAAAAACAAAACAAACATCTGAGAATATTAATGAAATAAAAAAAAAACAAAAATCTTCTGCAAAAAAATAAAAAACAAATAAAAAATACAAAAAAAAATGAAAAATATAAATAAATAAAATAAAACTTATTTCATCAGTCTATAGTTGTCAAAAAATTTACTCCTCAATTCTTGAGCAATTTCTACAATCAATCTAGTATCCCTCACAGTGAGAATCATCTGTCTACAATGAATCATGATCTTAAGACCATCTGTGAAATAATTAGTGAGATATTGTTATATTTATTTTCATATAATATCATACACTCAAAAAGTGTGATCAAGATTGTCTCTGCTGTGACTTGAAGAGTCTTGATAACAGAATACTGAAAGTGATAATTCTCTCTCTCAATCTTCTGAACAAGATATATAAACACAGTCTTAGAGAAAATAAGATCTTCTGACTTCTGATAGTATTGAATCTCATGAATAGCCTCTACTCTTATATCAACATCTAATATTATCAAAAAGTATTACTTTGATAATTTCATACTCTGCTTATCTACTTTTTTCATATGAGAGTGGGGGTTGCACACCTTCCACACAGTATGATGAGCATTGAAATGCTGCTTATGATGATGAGCTCAGACTGCTTCTCACTCTGCCACTTGCTGTTCAAATGCTGCCTTGCAGACAGCAGCAGTTGTTGGCATAACCCTCTGATAAGAAATATCCTTATCATAAGCTATTTTTTTGCTGAGAGAGGGTTAAGCACAGAGAATAAACATGTAGATTTCAGAGAGAGAAGGACAGAGACTTGTGGCACTGAATTTGCTAGATAGAATCAAATAATTAATCAGTATTCATTAGTGAGAAAACATTGAGATATTTATATTGCTTTTAATAGTTAACATACTGATGCAGAATTATAATGAATTGAGAAGAAAAGAGAGAAAGAACTAAAAAAAAAAAAACATCTGTAGATATTAATCTGAAAGATTGTATATACAAATAATCTCTACAGCAACAAAGAAGCATCTCATCTGCATTGAGTCATAATATAATCTGTATAGCAACTATATGTATATGATATCAACAAGTATCTCATCTGTATTGAGCCATAATATAACCTGTATAGCAACTGTATGCATGCAATAGCAACAAGCATGCCATCTGCATTGAGCTATAATATAACTTATATAGCAACTGCATGCATATAATATCAATAAGCAGTACAAAAATACAAACAGTATTGCTATAAAATATGTAATTTTCTATAATATATAGCTGTAGATTTTTTTTCTTCTTGAATTCTTTGATATATCTCTATTCTTTTCATTATATTTCTGTGCAGATATTGTCTTGTAAAAAGTGTATATTTTTTTCCAAACAAATCTTCATCATCACAATCAGAATATGTTTTTCTTTCTCTCTCTCTGCTGAAAACATGTCTGTCTCTCTCTTCAAGAAACATTTGATGACTCTGTGTATCATCAAGGCATGCAAATACTGCCATCATCTTGAAGAGAAAAAGAAAGAAGTCTTCAAATGTGAAGAGACTGACTGCAAAACATACTATATTGTCTTGAAAAAACTCCATAATGAAGTAGATTGATAATGATCTTGAATAATGCTTTTGCTGAATTTTAACTAATAGTATAAAAGAATTAATACTGATAATCTGATGTGTGAGAAGTTGAAGAAGAAAGTAGTAAAGTTGCTGATGCAGCAGTGCTGAGATCAGAAGTACTTATAAAAATGATTTGAGATTAAAATAAAAAGAAAGAGAGCTGAAAAAATAATGACTGTGAAAAAGTACTGTCAGAAGAAGATTGAAGATGTGTTTATCTGTGAAGCAAAGAAGTTCAAGCTGATAGATTGTATTTTGAATATATTTATTGATAATACTTTTTGATAATGACTCTATAATCTAATTGATTAGCAGATGTCTGAAGAGAATCAGAGAATTGAGATATTGTTTAAATCTTGTATATACTCAATGATTCAAGACATTGAGAAGACAGTGTTGCTTTCCAAATTGTATAGCAGTCATCTCATCAAACAAACATGGATCTTCAATTAAAATCACCCTTGAGAAGGAGACAGATTGGAGAGAGATTATCACTCTTTTGAAGGAGTTATATAAGGAGAAGATGAGCAGATTTAGCATTGAGATTACCACCTCTTTTAATCTTCTTGATATCTCAACTCTATCCTCAAACACCTCTGTAATACACAGTTCTGCAGCTTTCATTGGAGTGTCGGATTCACAATTAACAACCCAGACATTGGCATCAAAAAGAGCATTAGATGTCAAAGAAGAAGTAATCTCACCACCTGCCAAATCCCCTCTCTATCATCCTGCCAAATCCCCTCAAATTCATGAAATATCCGATGATGAAAAGCTGCCGCCTATGTGTACAAGATCCACGGCCACTAGCCAGCAGCTGAAGGAGGCTCAAAATCAACAGTCAAATGAGTGTGATTCTTTGCAGATTGGGTGTGAGATAACTGCTCACTGGCATGTCAAAAGATGAATTGTCATAACTTTGAGCAGGG